AACACTAACAGATGTATTGGAGCATAAGCTTTCGTGGGTGAATGCCCGTGCATCCGATGAAGTGGGCATTCACCCACGAAAGCTTATGCTCCAATACATCTGTTAGTCTTAAAGGTGCCACAGGACTCTCTGTTGCTTTTTAATAATTCTTGTGGCTCTTCTCTGAACCCTCTTCGATTTTTCAATATCCTTCTTGAGCTGTGGACAACAGAACTGGACACAGAATTCCAGCAGCGGTTGCATCAGTGATAAATATAAAGATTTGCTCACAAATTGCTAATATTCAATTTTCATATTTTTTTTAAAAAAGCCCCTGTGGGCCAGGTTTGGTTTGCAGAGTCCTCCTCCTGCTGTCCTACCTTTGCGTGGGTATTTTATTTTATCCGTGTACAGGAACTGCATGAGCACCTCAAAGGGCTGAGCTTCAGCTTCTCGGATTGTCACTTCCAGCAGGGGTTGCAGGCAGCACAGCTTGACATTGCCACAAATCCCCTCGTTCTGGGACAGTGCTTGTCCCTCTTCTTCAATCTCTTGCTTAGATTTCTAATGGGATAGAAAAACAGTAAACAAAGAAGCAAAGGTCTGGGTGTGTCCCTGGGACTGGGGTTGAGAAGGGCTGGTTTGCCAGGAACAAACTGTGTTTGTGGGTGTGCATTTGTGAGACTGTGATGTGATACATGGCTTTGCATTGTACTTACTGGGGATGTGCAGTGGAGTTGGGTCCCTTCATGCCCTTAACTGGCTTTGTGACATTTATCTTTGAATTTCCCTGCATTTCAAAATAAAGGGAGCCTCAGCCACGGAGCTCAGCAATGAAGTGTACCATTTTCCCTCCGAAGAGGTCCATGGGGTGCTAGAAAGTCTCCTCTGTGCTCCGTGCACAACTGCATGTACACTGGGCAAAGTGGCTGCAAGGCCCCCAAGTAAACTGCTCTGGTACAGCAGGCCCCCATGAGAGACACAGAGACAGCACCACAGCTTTGGATCCTCTGGCACAGGAGGCATCTCAGGCAGATCAAAGGCAGGGGAAGGCATGGTTGAGACAGTCCTGCACCCTGATGATTCCCAGCTACCATAATGTCCATTAGGGCTAAGGCAGCAGGGGGTGCAAGTTAGTGCAGCCCTGGGATTGCTTTAACCTGCTTGCCTGGCCGATCTGTCCCTTATCAATCTCAGCATAGCAGAGGTACAAAGCCTACCCTCTCATCCTGGTGCTGACCTGGGACTCCAAAGTGCTACAGACAATCCAGACATTCTCAGACTGATCATTTCACTTCCCTGCAAAAGCATTGGTCACACCAGAAGTAAGCTCCTGGCTGAAGCTACTGGAAGCTCGTGGAATCTCCTTCACCGGAGGTGTCCAAAAGGAGTCTGGATAGCCATCTGTCTTGGATGGTTTAGACAGAACAAATCCTCCATCTTGGCAAGAGGTTGGACTAGATGACCCTTGTGCTCCTTTCTAACCCTATTGTTTTATGATCTATGAAGCTCCCTGTGACAGGGCATATCTATCCCGCACCAGCCCTGTCATAAATATAAAGAAAAGGGTAGCATAAGATCCCTCCTTGGCAGCTATACTGAATCGCTTTACCTGTAAGGGGTTAAGTAGCTCAAATCACATAGTTGGCACCTGAGCAGAAGGACCAATGAGGAAAGAAGATACTTTCAAATCTGGAGACGGGGAAGAGGGGGGAGAGAATTTGTTTGTGGCTCTCTTTGTTTGTTCCCTCTCCGGATGGATGGAGAGACCAAGCAGGTACAACATCTCCTGAAAACAAACCTGGAATTATCCATCTAAAATTACAGAAATTGTAAGTAAGGCAAGGAAATGCATTAGGTTATCTTTTGTTTTGGCTTGTGAATTTTTCTATGCTACAAAGGTAGTTTTAGTCCTGTTTTTGTAATTGTGAAGCTGAGGACAGAGGGGAGTCCTCTGTGTTTTAAATCTTTTTATTACCTGGTAAAGTTACCTTCCATCCTGATTTTGCAGGTGTGATTCTTTTACTTTTTTCTTTATAATAAAGTTCTTCTTTTAAGAACCTGATTGATTTTAGTGTCCTAAAAATACCGTTACCTACCTTTCGTAACTGTTGTTCTTCAAGATGTGTTGTTCACATCCATTCCACATTAGGTGTGCGTGCACGGACATTGGAAATTTTTTCCCTTAGCGGCTCCCGTCAGGTCGGCAGGGGAGCCCCCTAGAGTGGTGCCTCTATGCTGGTGCATATATACCCCTGCCGACCCGACCCCCCCTTCAGTTCCTTCTTGCCAGAGACTCCGACAGAGGGGAAGGAGGGTGAGAAGTGTAATGGACGTGAACAACACGTCTTGAAGAACAACAGTTACGAAAGGTAGGTAACCGTTTTTTCTTCTTCGAGTGCTTGTTCACGTCGATTCCACATTAGGTGACTCATAAGCTCACCATAGGAGGAGGGTAGGAGTCATGGAGCAAATGACTGAAGAACAGCTCTGCCAACTGCCGCGTCATCTCTGGCCTGCTGGTTGACTGCGTAGTGGGCTGTGAATGTGTGCACCAATGACCAGGTGGCTGCTTTACAGATCTCCTGGATTGGGACGTGCGCCAGGAAAGCTGTTGAGGATGCTTGTGCCCTCGTCGAGTGAGCTGTGATCACCAGGGCTGGAACCTTGGCGAGCTCATAGCACGCACGGATGCAGTCCGCAATCCACAATGATATATGTGGCGCCGAGACCAGAATCCCTTTCATTCTATCAACTATGGCGACAAACAACTGTGTCGACTTGCGGAAAGGTTTAGTTCACTCCAAATAGAACGCCAGGGCCCTTTGGACATCCAGAGTGTGCAGGCTACGGTGACTCGGGTCCGTGTGTGGTTTAGGAAAGAGCACTGGCAAACAAATGTCCTGTCCCATATGAAATCGTGAGACTATTTTAGGAAGGAATTTAGGGTGTGGCCTGAGATGCACTTTGTCCTTATAAAAAACTGTATAAGGAGGCTCTGAGGTTAGGGCCCTGAACTCGGACACCCTCTTCGCCGACGTAATGGCCACCAGGAACGCCACCTTCCAGGAGAGGTGAAGGAGAGAGCAAGAGGCCAGGGGCTCGAACGGGGGCCCCATAAGCTTGGAAAGGACCAGATTAAGGTTCCAGGGAGGGACCGGCGGGCGTGAGTAGGGGAACACTCTCTCCAGTCCCTTGAGGAACCGCACCACCATGGGGTTAGAAAACACAGAGAATCCGGATTCCCCCGGGTGGAACACTGAAATGGCAGCTAGATGCACTCTGACTGAGGAAGGAGCGAGACCCTGATGTTTGAGGTGCAGGAGATATTCTAGGACGACTGGAATAGTGGCCTGGAGTGGCTGTATCTGCTTAGGCTCACACCAGCAGGAGAATCTTTTCCACTTAGCAAGGTAGGCCGCCCTAGTGGAAGGATTCCTACTGCCAAGGAGAATCTGCCGTACCAGAAGAGAGCACTGGCTCTCCATAGCGTTTAGCCAGAGAGCTTCCACGCCATGAGATGCAGGGGCAGGGCAATCGTGGCAGCCACTGACAGCTCTAGCAGGGTTGTAAACCAGTGCTGACAAGGCCAAGCTGGGGCGATCAAAATTATCATCGCCTTGTCCCTGCGAACTTTGAGGAGGACTCTGTGGATGAGTGGGAGTGGAGGAAAGGCATACTTCAGACTCCTGCTCCAAGGGATCGCGAATGCATCTGCGACCGAGCCCGGACTGTGGTTCTGGAACGAGCAAAACTGTGGACATTGGCTGTTGTCCTTGGTGGCAAAGAGGTCCATTTGGGGAAACCCCCACTTCTGGAAGACTGATTGCAAGATGTCCGATCTCATCGACCACTTGTGCATGCGGTATGACCTGCTGAGGCTGTCCGCTAGCTTGTTTTGCTCCCCCGGGAGGTATGACGCTACAAGATGGATGGATCCTCCTGCTCCACCGCTTCCTCTGCCTATAGGCCCAAGTTCTGGGCGACCCTGAGGAGCAGCTCCTGATGTGCCCTGTGGTCAATCGGAGGAGGCCCCGACACTGCCGGGCCCACCACAGCTTCGTCTGGGGAGGATGAGGAGGTGAGGGCCTGCTGTGCCTCCTCCACCTGCTCTTCTTGCCCCTCATCATAGGCCGGGGGCACGTCCGAGCCCTGCCTGGTTGATTGTCCCCGGGACGGCCCCGGGCTCGGTGCCACTTCCGCTCGCCGGTGTTCCGGAGAAGCGTCTGGCAGCCTGGATACCATAGCCTCCTTGGGTGTGGAGGGGTGCCTGTGTGGGGACCGGGACCAATGCACCGAATAGCCGGACCTCGAAGCTCTGGAGGAGGTCCCTTGCTGCTAATGATAGGCCCATGGTGTCCAAAAGGGCCATTGTCCTGGCGGGCTCCACTGGGGATGCCATGCGGTTTGGGGCTGCCTGCTAACTGGCGCCCTGCAGGCATAGCTGGAGCAGCCTGAGTCGACCTCAGATTCCGAGGACACCGACCTTGAAGGCCAAGGCAGTGTCGTGGCACAGTGCCGTCAGGAGGCTGGAGAGCGGCTCCTCACCGACCGGGATCGGTACTGATGCCCTCAGGACCGGGATCGCTGCCTTCTGCCCCGGACTGCGGCCTTATGTCCCCTCTGTGCCGGCTTAGTGACAGTGCTGGGGAGTGGTGCGCCGGCGGAGCAGGTGCCGTATGCTGGCTCGGTTCCGGTGCCATCGAGTCCAGGACAAGTAGGAAAAGGAACAGGAGCCCAGCAGCTCGAAAGGCAGGCCAGTGAGCCTGTAGAGGACCAGGTTAAGGTCCCACTGCGGGACAGGGGCCCATACCTGCAGGTAAAGCCCCTTGAGGCCCCCTAGGAACCTGACAATCATGTCGTCAGAAAAGACTGTCTGATCTTGGATCAGCTGGTGGAACATGGAGATGGCCGCAAGGTGCACTCTAATGGAAGAATGCACCAGACCCTGAGGTGCAGTAAGTAGTCCAAGATGGACTGCCTTGAGGAACGCGAGGGAGAAATGCCACGCTCCGACGCCCAGCAGGAAAACCTCGTCCACTTGGCCAGGTAAGTTAGCCTTGTGGATAGCTTCCTACTTCCAAGGAGGACCTGCTGGACCTCCTCTGAGCAAGTACACTCCTCCGCGTTCAACCACGGAGCATCCATGTCGAGAGGTGTGAAGACTCGAGGTTGGGGTGTAGGAGCTGACCATGATCCTGTAACAGCAGGTCCGGGCGATAGGGAAGGGGTCAGGGAGGGGCCACCGCCATGTTCATGAGCATGCCGAACCCATTGCTGGCGAGGCCACGCAGGGGTGATCACGATAACCTGTGCCTTGTCCCTCTTGATCTTCAACTAGGACCCAGCTGACCAGAGGGATCGGAGGGAACACGTACCTCAGACCTGTGGCCCATGACAGGAGGAAAGCAACGGAGAAGGGGTCCTTGCTTAGGCCCTACTGGGAGCAAAACCGATGGCACTTTCTGTTTCGCCTGGTGGCAAACAGATCTACCTGGGGAGTTCCCCAACTCTGGAAGATTATGCAGGCCACCTCTGGGTGGAGTAACCACTTGTGGTCAGGG